GCAGAGTCTGGCCTTCATGTAAGGTATAGTGGAAAGCCTATGGAGAGCTTTTATGCAGGAGAGAGACTTGATCTTATTTGAATTTTTAAAACTCCACTCTGGCCACCATAAGGAGACTAGGTAAGGGGGTCAAGAAGCAAGGACACCAAATAAGAGACAAAAATAGTGGCTCGAAAGGAATCAAATAAACTCTGTCCCTTAGCTCTGAGTCTCACTCCTCAGACTCTCAGTGAGGAAAGCTGGTTCAAGGGAGATGCTTGTTCTTTAAAGCAATGACAGCCAACCAGGTGGCATTCAAACATCAGACAAAAGAGGGCGAGTGACAGGCCCTTGCATTCAGGGCAGGACCCAGCCACCTCCGATGAAGACAACAGCAGCCATCTGTTCTGGGGCCGGGAGTGGATCAGCTCCCGCTTTGTGCCCCTTCCAGCCCGGGGACTCTGGGACTACAAGGCCAGGGCTGCTGGACACCCGACTGGCTCAGACCCCATACCCAGCCAGCTCGCGGGGCTGTCACTGGCTCTCCCACGGGAGAACGCAGATATCCCCACTGGTACCAGCCTTCAAACCCTAAGGACAAACCAAGTGACAGCTGCCAACATGAGAAAACAGACAACTAGACAACCTCCAGCAGCACAGTCTTGCCGGAGGGCAAAACAAAACAAAACAAAAAACAAATCTGATAAGAGCCTCTAAAACTAAATACCTATCACGGGTAGCATAAGGGACAGAAGAATATCTTAAATGATACCCGGAGACACCATCCACCAAATCCTGACTGTGGGAAACTCACTAAGACAAACAGTTCCGTTTCTTCAATAATTGTAAAGGGGGAAAGAGTTGAAAGAGAAAATTTCTAGATAAAGAGAAAAAGCACCAATCAAACTTTTATGAGACAAATGGGGAAAAATGAACACTGGCTGAATATGATATTAAGAAATTAGTGTTAATTTCGGGTGTGTGATAATGGTAGTGTTATATTTTTAGAAGAATTATATTTGAGATGCATCCTGAAATATTTAGGAATGAAATGATATGTCTGGGATTTACTTCAAACTGGGTATTGTATTACACTACTCCCTCTCCTCTTATGCACACTTGAAAATTTCTGCAATAAAAGTGAGGTGTGTTTTTAAATCTAGGAATGAGCTTTTTCTAATAACCTATCCAGTAATAGCCCACTAGACATTCTACCCACAAGAGAGAAATCAGGTTCATCGGATTCACTGTTCTGCCCTCCAGAGCTTGCCTTTTAGTGATTTGCTGGATGATCAGTGAATTCACATTTTCTTCCTCATCAACCCCTTGTTGGGAGCTATCCCAAAGTCACTACCTCCAGAAAGAACTGGAGTTCTTTTTCATTTATGCTAACTGAACTCTCTCCAGCCCACACCTGAGGCCACGCTGACTTTATGACCTTTCAGAACACACACATTTGGACTGTGTTCCTGACTCAGTCCTTCCCGCCGCAAGTTTTGCCCCCCAGAGGGCACCCCTTGCCCCACCACCCACTCCTGTCATTTCTAAAGTGGTGCCCTGTCTGTAAGAAAACAGCCCCTGAAAAGCAAAGCCTTTACGGGAGCTCTCTATTCCAGCAGCTTCCAAGAAAAGCTTCATTCAGGTGCCTCCTTGGGACCAGGCTCAAATCCCATCCCCTCTCAGACACACCTTTGCTTTTTCAGGATCCCAGGTGATGGCATCCCCAGGTGATGGGGTCCCAGGAAGCATCCACAGAAAGAAGCATAACCTGCAGCTTGTCCCACAAGCCCTGTAGAGAGCTGTCATGTCAAGGCCCATGCATGCCGCACCCATTTCTCCAGGAGGCAAACCGAGCGCACACTGAGTTGAAACCTTGAGCACAGTTCTTGGGACCTACCAAGAGTGCCTGGGAGTGTCCTGGTTCTGGGCCCATGTGGGATACCTGAGTCATTACCATCCTCCCTGGCACAGCTGCCTGCCCCAATATACAATAGTTCTAGGTGGTCCAGGGAGAGCAGGAAGATGGCGAGGGCTGTGGGCCATCACTGCAAGTCACACAGACCATTTCATCCCTCATGGCCAACAGCCAGTAGTTTTATCTGCACGCGCCTGTCAATTAGAGGTGCCAGGAAGATGGATGGATCAAGCCTTCTGGGAAGAATGAAGAAGGGGCCTTAGTCTGACCTGACCCTGCGAAGAGAGGGGGAGGAAGGAGGAACTCAGCAAATTTCACATTTGGCACGGAGTTTGGGGAGTGTTTAAGATCAGCGGCAGCCTGCTCCAGACTCCCCATGGCCGGTGCCCGCAGAAGAAGGGCCGATAGTGCGCACTGAACTGATTTCAGATGTTTAAAGAAAAAGAAACTCCAGATTACAGCAAGGGAGGCAAAGGCCATTTAACACCAACATGAAATCAATCACTCTCTCTCCTCGGGTAGGGTAAGTCCATGGCCAAACCTATCAGAATGCCAGGAGCAACAGCAGAATGGGCTGAAGGCAGGGGCTGGGAGGGTCACCAATGTCTGCTGCATTGCAGGAAAGAGCACAGTACGTCCAGGAGGAAGGACGAGATGCCAGGAGCTGGGGCATCCTCACTCAGACCAATCCCTTCCCGTCCTCTGTCCAGGTCCTTCCCACCCAGACCCAGGCCTGCCTGGCAGCTTCCTGGACCCTGCCTGGCTGGTCTTGACGACTAGTGGGGCTGTCACCACCAGACATCTTACCTTGGTTTCTGGAGGCACAGGCCCGAGAGAGCAGCCCTGATGAACCCCACCATCCTCATGCAGTGCTTCCTACCTTTCAGCTGCATCTTCCTCCCATGATCTTACTTGAGCCTCGAAAGCCCTTTGTGTGGATGCAGAAACTGAGGCTCAGGGAGATTAAATCTATACTATCACATCACAGGACTAGCACTTCTAGCTCCCAGGGCAGGGACCACCCTACAGCCTATACTCAGAGACAGGAACTGGTCCGAGGCAGCCGCCTTCCTTCTCACTCCTCAACACAGCCCGGGTTGACCCAGAACAGCCATCCCATATCCTCCTGACCTTAGAGGACTGGCTTGTTCCACCCACCTCTGCAGATAAAAAGCTGAAGGGCAGCGAATGGAAAAGAATCAACGTCTAGAGAAGAATGGGGCCCGGAGGTGGACTGGACTCCAGAGTCTCACTGGCAACTTCTCTGCTGGACATGTGTGTCCTCAACATCAGTCACTCCCGGATCACCTGCAGGAGTCCTGCCATTCCTACAGCATTGGCATGGCATTTCCATTCGAGAGGCTCATGCTTGTGACTTACACATTCCATTAGGGGGATGCTTCATATCACCACCCAAAGGGGCATAAGTAGGGGAGAAGCCTAAAAATAAACAGAGCAAAAACAGCTAAGTTTCTCTCCTCTCTCTCTCTCTCTTTCAATAAAAAATTTTTTTTAAAAAAAACCAGCCCAGGTTGTAGGTAGGCACTGTTCCCCCATGGAAAGGCCCTGAGCCAGAGTTCTGCTCTTTGCTATAAACAGGAGATTAGCGAGTGTTTAAAAAGTGTGAAAGCCAGGCCTGGCTGGTGTGGCTCAGTTGGTTGAACGTTGTCCCATGCACCAAGAGGTTGCCGATTCTGGGTCAGGGCATACACTTGGGTCGTGGCTCAGTCCCCAACAGGGGTTGTGCAGGAGGCAGCCTGTCAATGTTTCTCTCATTCATAGATGTTTCTCTCCCTCCCCCTTCCCCTCTCTCTAAAGTCAATAAAAACATATTTAAAAATAAAGAGTGTTAACGCCACACTAGCACCAACGAGAAACTTTCCCCTTGAAGAAATCACAGGGATCTGTAAGAGAGCTGAAAAGGGAAGAACTTTCTCACTAGGTGACTCAATGTCATTTCATGGTTAATCACCTGAAGTCATTTTACTAGAGATTCGCCCTATGCTGTAGGAAACGTCACATTAGACTACATTCTAGGAGGGATGGGTTACGGGAGGGGGAGGAAACAACCACAGGGACCACCCATGCCAGTTTCTCGAAGTACTCCAGTTCTTGCCTGCCCCCTCCCCCGGGCACACACAGCTTTGGAGCCCCAGTCACCACCCAGGTGTCTCTGGTCTCCGACTCCTCCATCCTTATCTTAAACCTTGTCTAATACAGAGCAAAGCACTGACCACTCCAAAACTCGCCTGGAAATTAGGATCCAGCAGGGGCACCAGAGGTTACCCCAATTCCACACAGCTCTGTGAACACTGGGCTCCCACGACCCCCGGTTGCAGGGAAGCTTGGGGCTCCTGTACCCTAGGAGAGGAGAGAGGCTGTGGCAGCCTGTGTGGGCAGCTCCCTGAGGTCCCAGGAAGCTGCCCCCAGAAGCTCCTTGGCCCACCGGAAACCCTCAACTCATCTCATAGGTGGTCCAGCTGTGACTCTGACATAACCCAGGAGAACCATTTTCAATACCCAGGAGCAAAAAATTAGGAGAATAACCCCAAGAAAACTGAAGAGTTAAAGACAGGAAACCCCAAACACAGAGAGGCCTGGGGATGGGGGGGACAAGGAGGGAGGGGTTGCAGCCACCTCCAAACTTGCTCCTTGCCTACCAGAACCATACTCAGAGCAAGCAGACCATGGCCTGCGGGCACCTCGCGGGCTCAGCCAAGTTGCAGAGAAGCAAATGGCATCCCCAGCGCCTAGAGCCTCTCGGAGCCCCGGACTGTGTCGCCGGATTGGATCAATGCTGCCGCGCTGCAGGCTTCGGCCAGGGCCCCCCGATCGGCAAATGCCCGGAGTGGGGGCTTGGGAGCCGGTGCCCGTCTGTTGGGGATGAAGCCCAAGGGGCCCTCCCACCTGCCCTGCCTGGGCTTTCCCACAACAGCCAGTGTCTGGGGCCACGCTCCGAACGCGCTTCCCCGACAGCGCTGGGGTAGAGGCATTCTCCAATCCAACTCGGAGCCAAACGCCCTTTTGGGAAAAGTCGGCCCCTACAGAAAACGGGATTTTAGCACCAGAGCGGAGGGAAGGAGGAGGAGGCACTGCCCGGCTTTACCTTTTCTCTTTATTCTGTTTTCGGGATTTGTGCAGGAGTCCGATGAGCACCACGGCGGCGCGGATCCCCGCCTTCCGGCAATGCATCCTCCCCGCCGGCTGGGACATGGCGAGGCCACCGCCGGTGCCCGGCCGCGCCCTCGCCCGCCCGCCGCGCGCCCCCGTCGGCCCGGCTCCGCGCGCTCCGCGCCGCCCGCCGCCGGCCCCCGGCCGCCCGCCTCGCATGGACCCCGCCCCGCCTAGGTGCGCCCCGGTGTCAGGTGACTGGGCGCTCACTTCCCGGCGACCTTCAGCGTCTCCTCGGGGCCCGCGGGGTAGCCGGCGCCCGCTCCCCCGGTGCGGGCATTTCCCAGGCTCGCTCCGGGCGCGGCCGGGACGGGCGGCTCTGGGGCTCCCGCTCAGATCCGCCGCCCGCGCCGGGACCCCGCCCTGACCCCGCCTCCCGTGCTCGGCCCGGGGCGCCCCGGCTGCGAGCGGATCCCGCGGCCCGGCCGCCGGCACCAGGAGGCGGTCCGCTCGAGCTCGGCGCCCTCGGGGTCTCGGCGCCCGCGTTCGCCCTCTACCCCGCGCCGGGCTGCCGCCCTCCTCCCGCCTCTCCCTCTCCCTCTCCGTCCCCACCTCTGCGCACCCCTTCCCCGCCCCCGCTGGCCGGGCTAGGCGCCCTCCCCAGGCTCGGGCGGCTGACGCCTTCCCAGCCCGGCCCGCCGGGATACTTCTCCGATGCTGTCACCGCCTTTACAAACAGGGAGAAAGCACAGGCACCGGGAGGAAAGCGCGTCCTCCGTCCAAGCGAAACTACCTTCGCGCGCGGGCACCGCCGCAGCCTCCCTGCCCCAAGCCCGGGCGGCCGCCTTTCCTCGGGTTCCCTGGCGTTTTGACTCAGGCAGAGGCTACCTCTCCCCTCTCCCCACGTCCGGGAAAGGACTGTGGGGTGGGGTGGGATGGGGTGGGGTGGGGTGGTTCACGCCAGCGTGGGCGCCTGAGTGGGCTGGGGTCAGTCCCCCGTTAACACTTGTTTTCCCGGCCCTGGGAGTTTGACACAACATAAGGTCAATGGTCAATTTTCCCGAGGCTACGCGTCCCAGGTTGCCAGGGAGACGCAGGGCTTGGGATGGGGTAGCGTCCCACCCTACCAGCATCCCTGGCGCTAGCGCTGACCGGCTAGCGCGGACTGCCGCACACACTCTGCATCCGTTCTTCCCCTGCTCCTGCGCCACTTCCATTTGCTGCCCCCTCTCACCACCACCCCTACCATCACCCAGAGTGTATCCACTGGCTTTGCTTCTCCCTCCAGCCCCCTAAGAAAGACTACCCGGGAAAGGGCTGGAGGGAATTCAAACAAGACAATTAGTCCATCCTTGGAAACAGCTCTGGTGGGGCCAAGGAAGTCCCTGGGGCAATCTGCCTGGTTTTTTTAATGCAGTCTAGTGTTGAAGCAAGCACAGAGAATCCAGACAGGCACGAGGGCCTTGCTGTCTGTAGAGGTGACAGGAGCTACAGATAAACTCAAAGGCCTGAGGCCTCAACCCCACTTCTATGTGGGCACAGCTTCTTGCTGGCATCGGAATTGGGGTGGAGGAGAGGGAGCACCGGACCGGTGCCAAAATGTGCCTGGTTTATTTATGAAGCGTCCATTAACAAGGCCCTCAGCCCGCCTGAGCCTGCCTGGGTGTGGGGGTCACAAACGTTGCCATGGAATCTACTTATAGCCAGAGAGTGAGTGACCGAGGCCCCACCCCTGGATTGCAGCTAGGCCCGCTGCAAGGACCACACCAGTAGTGACCTGTGAGTCAGTCTGGAAGAGGAATGGGGCAATGATTATCCTCAGTGGGGAAGAGGGCAGAGCCGGCACCGGCAGCCCAGGGCTTGTCCTGCCTCCAGCAGTGCACGGAACTGACCGGTTAGCTGACGGATTGCTTCAGCCCCAATGGCAGGGAGGATGCCGGGGGCACCCGCCATCGGTCTAGCCCCAGCAATGGGTGTGTTTTATCCACACACACAAGGGTAGGCAGCTTGTCTCAGGGCAAGGCCTGGCTTCCCCCGGGTGGGTGAGCGTGGGTGGTCCCTCTCATCCCCCATGGTCTAGGACAGTGATGGCGAACCTATGACACGCGTGTCAGAGGTGACACGTGAACTCATTGTTTTGGTTAATTTTTTTTTTGTTAAATGGCATTTAAATATATAAAATAAATATCAAAAATATAAATCTTTGTTTTACTATGGTTGCAAATATCAAAAAATTTCTATATGTGACACGGCACCAGAGTTAAGTTAGGGTTTTTCAAAATGCTGACACGCCGAGCTCAAAAGGTTCACCATCACTGGTCTAGGAGATATTTTAAGTCAAATGCATCAGTGGGCAACAGGACCTTGGGATGAAGGTGAGAATTCTTTCCACCAAGCAGGTAACTTGATTCATTGTAGTTCTGGGGTCCCAGGCCCTCTCTGCTCCTCTATGATCACAATTATTTCCAGCCCTAATGGGCTGGAACACAAGGTTGACCCCAAAAGACCATAGCCTGATCTGATTCCGGGGGCCCTTAGAGATAGATGTTTCCTGAGGGTGGAGAGGCCCTTCCTTCTGCCCACACCCCACACAGGAAACACCACAGCATAAAGGAACCCATCCACAGCAGGGAATGTAACGGCTATCTATGTTGGACTGCCCATTCCACCAACATCCATCAATCAATCAGGAAGTGACCCGCTTGTGCGAGAGACCAGGGTAATGGAAGAGCACCCTTACCCAGAACAAACAGGGCCTAATACACACACAGCCACAAACCATCCCATTCCCACCTCTCTCGTCCCATGTGACCTGGCCACTGTTCCCCAAAATTAGGCGATTCGCATACCACCTTCACAAGTTTTTGTCTTAACACCATAGAATAATAATATTCTTTTGCTTTAACTAAATCAACTCATTCTTCACTTAATTTTAAAAGAAAACACTGTTATTCTCCTAAATGAAAATCCATTATCACTTGTCATTCACACCATGGAAACAAATACAAATTTCTTAAATTGTAGCTCCATGCTGTTGCCTGACAAAGGCTCTGAGCCGGAATCACCTTCATGAAAAGAGAAAAGTAGATTGTTAGGTGTTAGCCACACCCTTGCACCAAACAAAAACCAGTCCTTGAAGAAATCATGTTTGAAAGAGAACCGAAGGGAACACTTTTCACATTAGTGATTCAAAGGTCTTCCAAGGCCTCATCCATGGTCACTTTGGGGCGAACTGAGCTGGGTGGACACATTCAGTCCACAGGGAGTAAGGTCTTCTCCCAGGCAGAGCTCATCCGCAGCCGTGTCCCAGATCACAGGACCTCAAAGGCCATGTCAGTCCTCCTCCCCCAGCCCACAGTCCCTGAGAACAAAGTGCCAGGCAGCTGCCAGCCTGGGTGTCTGCCCCAATCTGGGGAAACCCAAAGGCTCGGGGGGCCTGGGTGGGAGTGGAGGTGGAGGGGGACATGGAAGTCAATCATGAACACAGGGCAGACAGCTGCACAGCCCGGTCCTAAGCGGCCAGCGGGGTGAGACAGGCAGACACGCATGCTTGGTCCTGAAGAAAGGCCTTCTGTGCCTGGGAACCGGCTCAGGGAGACACATCCGTGTGAAACTGGCATCAGCCCCACTGCTGGAGCCTAAGTCTCAGGGAGAGCCTGGGGCCGTTTCCCCACCACCTGACACCCAGGGCCTCTAGGTCCCTACAAAATGGACTGGGAGTAGATGTGGGGCAAGAGGGGCTTTGGATCCAATGGGTGGGAACTTTTAGGGAAACAGATCTTCAGATGCCTTACCCCTCCCCTTCTGCAGGGACAACGCCTGCATCCATCCGTGAATCACGCAAACTTTGGAGTAATTCAAGGGTTATAAACATATAACACTAGACTGCTCAGGACAGGCAGGCATCCTGACTCTTATGCCTTTGGAGGCACACCCATTACACACACCAGCTGGGAGAAATCACTCAGAAGCCCCCCTCGCCCCCCACCCCAACCCCAACCCCAGCTCTGACTTCTGCAGAGAGCACTCACACCTGTGCTTCTAAGCCGGCCCTTCATGCTTGGCTGCTACATCAGCGCCCCCTGCTGGGCCACATTTACAGTTGCATTTCTGGAATACCACCATAAGAGGAAAAGGAGAAAGGAAAGGGGGAGAGGGCGAGGGAGGGCAGGGAGGGACAGACCTAGCACGGGAGGGAGGGAGGGAGGGGGGAGGGGGAGGGGGGTAAGGGAAACATTGAGAAGGTCATTTGAGGTAGGGAAGCAGTTTCTATTTTGAAAAGAGAGAGAGACAAGAGTCTTTGCCAACATGTTGACGCTCCTCCCGGCTCCTAACTGCCTCTCTCAGAGGCCGACCACCCCACACGGGTTGGTCCCACCAAAACAGGGTCTTTCGGTGACAGCATCAGGCCATGCCCAGGCCGGGCTGGGAGGCCTAAGAGCCAAGCTTGGGGACCGCAGCCACACATATCAGACTGAAGCTCTGGCGAGAATCTGGCTCAGATTTTGGAAAGACATCTTGGTGTGCTCGTGTGGCATTTCCGAGTTCCGGGGGAAGGAAGCCATGCCCCGAGGAAACCCACAGATCCCACTCGATGGCAGGCACCCAGCCTGTGGACTGCACTCCATGGGGTACCCTGAGCCTGCAACACATGTCCCTCCGAGCTTTACAAACGGGGCTGGAGGGAGAAGAAAGGAGTTCTTCATCTCTTCCTTGGGTTACTGAGGGCATTTAAAATAGTTCTTTTTGGTTCCCTTGTGGAATTTTGAATCCATGAATCTAAGTGGCATGACTATAATTTTTACCACAGTAGAAATATTCACAGGGATTTTTCTGGGTGTGACATTTCTGATGAACATGAAGAAGTGAATTTTGCACGGAGGCTGCCCAGGGGTCCGGGCAGGGAGTCAGGGGGCAAGGACCCAAGGTCCCGCCAGCCCCCACACCACTGATTACAGCTCCTCCCCACTGATTACCAATCCCCCCCAGCTGCTGCTGCCACCAAGTCACTTCCAGCTCTAGGCTTTCTGGGGCCGAGTGGAAAAGTGGGGAGGGAAGCTGTCTTTCCATAATATTAGCAACATTGCTTAGCAACATCTTTCAAAGCAAGAACCAGCAGACTCTCCAAAAATCCATTCTGTTTGGCTCTACAAAAAAAAATAGAGTGGTTTCTGATGCATGTATTATTTATATACTATTTTATATGCCCAGTTAATGCCTTCTGTGCCTGTGTGCCTGGCCTCCTTCGGAGATGACGTATCACACCTAAGTGAGATTTCCAGACAGCAGAGCTTTAAGGAGCAAAACTTCTGCTTGTTTGCTTGCTCGCTTTTCCTGTCATGACCTTGGCTACAGATTTCTCAGAAATGTCTTCCATATTTTTGTAACTTTTTCCTGGTGAATCGAGCCATCATTATCAATGCCACCTGTTGTACTGAACTAAAACTCAGTTACGAACTAACAGGCCACTGAGGTGAGGCCCCACTTGTCCCTATACTTACTGGCCTCCATCAGCTGTGGTCCAGGGATACTAGTACGAGAATAAAAACGAAAAGACCCTCAAGT